GACATATCCTCTGACCAGTAGGACCAATATCACTCTTTATACATGATTGTTATGAGAAATTAAAATACTGGTTGCATTTGATACTTGAGTAAACACCTTTATTTTACCATTTAACGATTATTATATATACAATTTGTTTCAAGAAACAAATTTTGTAATGAATTATAATGTTTTTTTAAAGTTTCATATTTTTCTTCTAACTTACTAAATTTTTTTCTCAAGTATCAGTATGTTTGATATTAGAGAGTCATCTATGTTATATTTCTTAAATGCTTCGCAGATTTTAATCAGACGATCACAGGTAATGACACAAACAGGACATGAAAACAGAAAAGTGAGTAGTACTACTGGAGGCACTGATAACGCTGATGAAGATAATGAAGAGGGTGGAAACATTGTAGTTGTAAGGTTAACAACCTTTTATGAAGGTAAAATTAAAGATAATGCATCAGAGAGGGCAGCAGCAAAAGAAGCACAAAGAAAGAAGCAGCGGACAAAAACGCGGAGGAGGCAGTAGCAGATGAAAGTGCAAAGGAAGCGATAGAAGACAAAAACACAGAGAAGGCAGTGGACGAAGGTACAGAGGAGGTAGCGGATGAAGGTACAGAGGAGGTAGCGGATGAAGGTACAGAGGAGGTAGCAGATGAAGGTACAGAGGAGGTAGCGGATGAAGGTACAGAGAAGACAACGAATATAGATACAGAGGAGGTAGCAGCGGAAAAAGCCTTAACTAGAAATAGCAGATAATTTAAAACAGAATATTTGATATTATAATTAATAATACTGATACATATGTACATATTATTACTAATTATCCCTATGACGAATGATCATGTTTTACTTGCTAATTAGGTTAAGTTTTTTTTATAAACTTACCCATCTCACTTGTGATTACCGATTTCTAGAGTAATAGTATACTATATATATATATATATATTACTATATACTCCAGAAATCAGTAATTATAAACGATTTCTAATTTGCATCATGATATTAAAAAAAAAAAATCAAAAAAAATTTTTTTTTATCATTCCTAGTCTTGGCAGCATCAACTACATAAAAAGCATGATTTCGAAGCTATATTAGAGCTGAATAGAAGCTGGCAGATATTTTTATTACCTCATCAAAAAGCACAAAACAACTGACATGAATCAGCTGGATCAGGAGGGGGGACAACCATATTTAACCTTATAACAAATAAATATAAATAAAAATATTAGTAATAGTCTTAAAAATAACTATCAACAAATATATATTTATGTTTCATAAATAAAAGAACCAAATAAAAGTGGTGTCCGACAGGAAAAAATTATTAGACCCATCTCGGCGACTAATAAGATTTCCCTA